ACCTGTCTGGTTCTGACATGGTCCTAACCTGGTCCTGGTCCTGACCTGGTCCTAACCTGGTCCTGGTCCTGACCTTATCCTGGTCCTGACCTGGTCCTAACCTTATCCTGGTCCTAACCTAGTCCTAACCCGCTCCCTCCAGGTGGGTCTGGTCCTGAACGGGTTCACCCTGAAGGTGTACTGACCTGGTCCTGACCTTATCTTGGTCCTTACCTTATCCTGGTCCTGACCATATCCTGGTCCTGACCTGTTTCTAACCTGGTCCTTACCTTATCCCGGTCCTAACCCAGTCCTAACCCGCTCCCTCCAGGTGGGTCTGGTCCTGAACGGGTTCACCCTGAAGGTGTACTTCTGGCGCGCGGCCCCGGCCTACAGCAGCGTGAGCGTGTACCTGCAGAACCTGTCTGGTTCTGACATGGTCCTAACCTGGTCCTGGTCCTAACCTGGTCCTAATCTGGTCCTGGTCCTAACCTGGTCCTGGTCCTGACCTGGTCCTGGTCCTAACCTAGTCCTGCTCCCTCCAGGTGGGCCTGAACGGCTTCACCCTGAAGGTGTACTGACCTGGTCCTGACCTTATCTTGGTCCTAACCTTATCCTGGTCCTAACCTGGTCCTAATCTGCTCCCTCCAGGTGGGGCTGGTCCTGAACGGGTTCACCCTGAAGGTGTACTGACCTGGTCCCTGTCCTAACTTGGTTTTAACCTTATCCTGGTCCTAACCTAGTCCTAACCCGCTCCCCCCAGGTGGGTCTGGTCCTGAACGGCTTCACCCTGAAGGTGTACTGACCTGGTCCTGACCTTATCTTGGTCCTTACCTTATCCTGGTCCTGACCATATCCTGGTCCTAACCTGGTTCTGACCTGGTCCTTGCCTGGTCCTGGTCTTGACCTGGTCCTAACCTAGTCCTAACCGGCTCCCTCCAGGTGGGGCTGGTCCTGAACGGCTTCACCCTGAAGGTGTTCTGACCTGGTCCTGGTCCTGACCTTTTCCCTGTCCTGACCTGGTCCTTACCATATCCTGGTCCTTACCTTATTCTGGTCCTTACCTTATCCTGGTCCTAACCCGGTCCTAACCCGCTCCCCCCAGGTGGGCCTGGTCCTGAACGGGTTCACCCTGAAGGTGTACTTCTGGCGCGCGGCCCCGGCCTGCAGCAGCGTGAGCGTGTACCTGCAGAACCTGTCTGCTTCTGACATGGTCCTATCCTGGTCCTGGTCCTAACCTGGTCCTGACCTTATCCTGGTCCTAACCTGGTCCTAACCTTATCCTGCTCCTAACCTGGTCCTGGTTCTGCTCCCTCCAGGTGGGCCTGGTCCTGATCTCGTCAAAACTTCGTCCTAAACTGATCCTTACCTTATCCTGGTCCTGACCCGATCCTGACCCGATCCTAACCTAGTCCTAACCTGCTCCCT